GGCAAATAGAAATGAAATCAACTGTGACAGCTCATTAATGATATATACACCCTCTGTTTGGACATTAGTCTAGTCCAGCTCCAAAGAAAGAAGTAACTACATCATTTTTACCACTGTAAGTTGAAAGTCAGCAAGTAACTTAATACAGCAGGTACCCTTGTGACGGTGAGGGAATCAAGAGACTTTTACATAGAAAAATTCCACTTGATTACCAAATAGCGCTCAGTTGGTAAAATTGCTTTCACCTCCGTTTAGGTGCATCAAATGAAGATGCTTCTTCAGTGTGTGCTGGGGAATCCGCTGCAAGCCTAACAGTCTCTCTAAGGAATGTTTTCCTTGCAGACTAAACCCAAAGTTTCCATTGCTTAATTTTAATGTATTTTCTTCCTGGCTCATCTCCTGATGCTGCATGTAGAACTGAAAAAGAACCCTAACAGTTCTTTTTTTATTTTATAACAAAACTTAACAACTATTTAAATATCATCTCTGATTGTATTCCTCTAAATCCCCCTTTATGCTGGAAAGTGTCCCATATTTGTACACTCAGAAATCAACAAAATTACTTACCACAGTTTCATGTGCAGACAATCGTGGAGGAGATGGACTGAGCAGTTTGGCCCTCACCCCCTTTCTAAGTCTGCAGAGTCAGTGGCAGAATGTTTCATTCCTGGCTATGCCGGTGCAAAATCAAAGTAGCGTGATGGACTCGAATAACTCTGGCTCCAGCTTATCATTAACTTCAAGGGATTTACTCCACACTTTAATCAGTCACTGAATACATAATCTGACCCGGGAAAAGGCACAAAGTGTAAATCAGTCCCTGATTTGGTCCTGAGCCAATGCTGGTGGGAGAACTGCTTTCAAGAGATTTGATAAAAGGTATTTCTTAGATAATGAACACTCCAACAGAAAGAGGCCTTATCAAATGTGGAATGAGTATGGTCTGTCAAACATTTGCTTTCAACTTCTTCTGATCTTCTGTAAAGTAAAAGCTCTGGATGATGCAGCGAGGGAAGGAGTTTTGGCGTCTTATGTGCAAGGTTACAGCATTTGGAGGCATTGGGTCTTGTCACCCCCATGTTCCATGGGTGGAGAAGGGGATGCTGGAAACACTCCTTGGCTCAGTGACACTCTTTGAGAAGGAGAGAGAAAATTACTCTTTTATTATAAGTTTTGCCAAATGATCTCTGAGAAAATGTGATATCATTCATATGCATTGCCAAGCTGGAGAGATGCCGCGCATCTTGGCAGCCATCTAGAGCTAACATATAATTCCTTTGGGTTGGTATGGGCTTTATCAGAAACGGCTCCATATGCAGTATTTACATAACTGTGGTGGAGTGTGAGAATAAACACAGCTGTGGCATTGCCCTAAATATTTCAATTCAGTGGGGAATTAAGGGAACTTTATCACTGAACTGCAGATAAACAGAAGTCAGTAAGCGGTGGTCAGTTTAGCCAAGGAACAAATCAAAGCTACAATGGCTGGACTGCTGGAAACATTTAAGTGCTTTAGTGTTGGAGTTTACTAAGGTCACGGGTATTTTTTTGCTTTTCAAAAAATATGGAAATGCCATCAGTCAGCTGTTATACAAAAAGCATCATCCAAATGGACTGGTGAATCAAAGCAGCGTAGGCTGAAAGGCAGAAAAGGGGAGTTTTTAGGGACGCAGTGCTTTCCGCATCTGATTGCAGTCAGAGCCCATGGGTTTCCGGGAAAATTATAAGTTTCTGTTAGTATCTCCATCCTCACTGGCTGTGGAGATGGGAGTCCTGGATCTTGAGCAGAAATCTGTAAGCCCCGTTTCTTAAAGGTAGTTTAGTGCCCAGATCTTAGAGCAAATAGCCTGTAGCAGAGTTCAGGCAGTTGAAGATTTAGACTGCTGTCCTTATGGTATGAATAAAAAAGGTACCCTACCTAGCAGTTTGCACAGGAACGATGCTTGCAGATGTATTCCTCAGGCTGGCCCAGTGCCGTGGATAAAAGGATTCAGTTTCAGGGCTGTCAATGCAGCATTTATTCCCATTCCGAACTCACTTTTGAGAAGTGTAGCAGTATTGTCCAATCTTCCCATCACTCAGCTCAGGGAATGAGGCAGATTTTCTGCAGTTGTTAGTGCATCACCATCAAACTTTGATGACTTGACAAGCAATCCCCAAAATAGCCCCATTAGAAGTCACTGAGGGATGATATTTTAAGAATATTTTTGCAAGCGTGGCTCAGTATATGTGTGTGCATACTAGAATATATACATTGATATCACAGTAGAATGTGTATATATCAGAATATGCGTAGTTTAGAATCCCTTAAAACAGAATTGTTACGAGCTAACTAAATGTTCATTATTTTAGGGGACAGAAGTCTTGTAGAAATACTTAAATAGCCACCATCAAGGGAAATACACTTTGATGAAGGCCCAGGTAGCAAAATACTTGTTTGGCTGTTAATCCACTTGCTTTAACTAAGAATTTAAGTGTATTCTAAATCGGAGGGAAGAGAGTTGCCATTTGGAAAGTCTTTCAGTTCTAGATAATTTTTAAACCAAGGCCTGCTACAACTCTAACTTAAAAAGAAATGACACAAGTTTGCTGCTGTTCCTTTACAGCTGAAAAAGCAGCATGTTCTGTGTCTTTATAGCCCTTGTTCAGCACTTTGTTTACCGCACGATACACAGTGACTTTGGAGGTGGGAGTTCCCTTATAGAAACCACAGGCTTTGTAAAGAGCATTGTTTCACACAATCCGTACGGCGCATTAACATTTTTCAGAAACAGCACAATACTGCTGTGCTGCCTAAATATTTTTTCTCCTTAAAAGAAGTATTAAAATGGGAGTTAGAGTGCAGAAAATACTGAGTGCTGCTCCTGGCTTGTTCTCTGCCTCATCTGGGTTATGTACCTTTCTGCTTTTTGGGTGGTGAAATGAGTATGCCATCACTGACCTCGTTTGTAAAATGCCATGAGATCTCATGCTAGGAAGTTCTCTGTAAGTAATAAGCAATGTTTCACCGATGACCACAATGTACTTTGAAAATCCAAGCTTGTATAGTTTGTTTCCATTGATAGCTGCCTACAAGAACAAGTTCAACCTCAAGTTCATATGGCAGTGGGAGAGCAGTGTTTCTGATGGAAAGACAGACCAGGGCGTGGTAGCCGTGCATGATTGTAATGATCATTGGACACAAATCATAACTGTTGGGGAAACAGCTTTTTCTGGTAGTTTAGAAAAAATCAGTGTGATTGGGAACATGCCAATCTACAAACAGTTTTCTTACTCACCATCATCTTCTGATAAGGAATTTTCCTTTTGGTACCTGAGGTTGAATCCTCGGTGCATCCTGGAGTGGCTAAATAAGAGCCTTTATTTTCAGACAGTGCTGAGCTCCAGCAGCTTTACCGAGGAAACACACATTACTGTGTTGGCTCAGCACTTTCTGAAAAATCAACCCGATTTTTAAGCTATCCAAACAGTGATTTAGGACCCTGAACAGTTCAGCTGCTGAGTTTGGAAAATCATGACCTTTTCTATCTTTAGAGCAGTGTCTACGTGGAGACCTGCCCTTCCCAAAATGGACAAACACGAGACCAGCGGTCCTCGCTCTCCCAGCCCCAGAGAGCTGCACAGATCGAGTCACCCTCTATTTTGGATTCTGCTCTGGTTTAACCAATTAATTAAAACGTCTTAATTGTTAGTTAAGCTCCAAATTGTAAGATTTTGTAATTGCATAACAAATATTTGCATTGCAGTACAGTCTTGAACCTCAACCTGAATAAATTCCACTGAACTAATTACTTCTCTGCTACAGAAAGGAGTCGTTGTGTGTCCCAGAGACCGGGCAGCAATACACAGGACAGAAGTACGTGCTTAGGTTCAGATCCCAGGTTGAATTTGCGTGGGTAACGTTCCGGGGCAGTCACCGTACGTGCATAATGAAAAAGCACAAATGTGATAGGGAGTTGAGTGATGGGCAATGGCTAGGGCTTGGTTTTATAATCACTATGCAAAGATAAACCGGACTATTACTTAGTGGGTTATGTAACAAACGTTCAAGTAAAAGCGGCCCACAAAGCTATAAAGAGCACACAAAGCCCCACTAATAACTAATAACTTCACTGAGAACAGAGCTGAAATAGCTGCAGCTGCCTCTCAAAGCATTTTTGTTGTTGTTGTTGTTAGCAAAGGTGTTGGCACAGGTCCCATAACCATGATGGACAGGATTCATTTTCCTGGAAACTGTGTTCGCCTGTGCTTTTCAAACCACAGTGGTGGGGTGGAAGCCCACAGGATGGTCTAGTAAACATGTTTTTAGGGAAGAAAACATCTCTCTCCACAAGAGTTTGAAAACTGTAAAAGATGTCTGCCAGCAGCAATCATATGGTGGTGGTTAGCACTTTCTTGCTGCCGCTGTTAGCAGGATCTAAATGGAGCATTGAGAACATCGGTAACTCCTGGAGAAGGCTAATTACACTACGCTTCTGGTTGATGCTTAGTGGTGTCACTGAAACCACAGCGCAATCCTAAGAAAACCCCTCCATTTGGGATGAGGGTGGTTTTCATTTAGCTCTGTATGTGTGAAATAAACACATTGGGAAACTCTGGCTGCGCCGTGATATTCAGCTAAAGAAGGCAGCAGCTTATCCCTGGCTTCTCCACAGTCATCTCCCGTGCAGTTCTGGGTGGTTGCCATGTCAGTGGATGTTAATGGGTGAATGCACCTCTTGCCTTTATATTTGAAACTCCTATTGACATGGTAGATGTGGGATTGCGTCAGCACTGGATGATCCCCTTCTCAGGGATTTTACCATAATGCCAGTACAGACCTGGCTTCAGTTAAGATGATCCTACTCTGTTCAGGTGTTGTAAAGGTAAGTTTTTTAGTGCTAGGTCTTGATATTAGTATCCTTCTTTTTAACTTATTGCTAACACTAAGCAAGGTAATAAATTTAGCCACCTAATGGTATCTGAGTGAACATAATGTTTTTCCCCCCCTGTTTTTCTAGACTTATTGAAGTTCATTCACCTGATGCCAAGCACACCGTGGTGCTCAGGAGTAAGGATTCGGCTACAGCCCAGGCCTGGTTCAATGCTATCCACTCCAGTGTCAATGAGCTCATCCCCAAGGTGATTGCAGAGGTCAGAGACCAGCTGGGTAAAACAGGGATTGCTGGAAGTCGAGAGATCAGGCATCTAGGCTGGCTTGCAGAAAAGGTAATGAAAACATTCTTATTTTCATTTCTAAGCCCTCTCTTTCTTGCTCGCTCTCTGTTCCTGAATTCAGCCTTGTCGAAGTGGAGATGCTAAATGAAGTTCTGGGGTTTGATTTAGCTTTCCATGAAGACCTTTCTTCTCTTAATGTGCCAATTTTTGTGCTTTTAAAAAACACCAAAAAACACCAAAAAACTAGAAGGTCGCCTGAGTCTTTGCTTCTTTATGACAATTAGCAAAGACTTCCCTGGGAGATCAGAAGCCTCTTGATCTGTCAAGTACAGGCATGGGACATGAGTAACAAAAACTGACACCAGCCTCAAGCTCCCCTGCTGTTATGTCTCCTGTTCATGTATACGAAATGTCACCTTCCTACTCCCAGCCTGGGAAGTAACCAGTTCCTTGGTCCATGGTCCACCCTTCTGCTGTGCCTTGCACAGTTTGAGTCTCAAAATATTTTACGCCACAGGGGAAAGCTGGTGTTTAGTTCGAAAGTAGTTTGGGATCTATTGACCTGTGGAAAGTCAACCCATGAATGCACAGGGACGGTATCGGTATGAGATGGTCTGGTTTTAAATCAGTAGTCTCAGAATTTGTTTTAGGCACTGGACCAACTGTTAAGTGTGGATTTGCTACGGTAACAGCATTAGGATTGTGCCTAGAAATACCTTCCGTCCAGATATTGCCTGGACGGCCGTTCAGAACATCTCTGCCTCTCCAGCTGGGGTGCATGGAAACATGGCCGCTATATACACACTGCCCTTTCAACCTGTGCATCCAGCACAGGTGTGGAAAGCTGACTGCAATTGCCCTGAAAAAAAAAATACTGTACATTTTAGCTCTATCAGGGATTTTGTAGATGAAAATATGGGAGCCACAGGCACAGGTGCCGTATTTCTATCTGTCTGTCCTTTAAGAAGGCACACCATTAATTTTTAGCAAAACGTGGGTCAGTCCACACCACTTGTAGCGAGGCAAAGATTGCAAAACCTGTCAGGTGGATTTTTTATGTTTTCCTGTCCCTCCCTCCAAGCTTGCAGAGTGGGAAGGACAGCACAACTCTGTGGCTTAGTGCTGTAGAAAATGTAAAAGTTTGGGAGAATAATTTGGGGTTAAAACACCAAAGCACTGGTAAGTAAATTTTAACAGTATTAAACTGTACAGCCATGGGGGTCTTTAATCGTGTTTTCCCTTTTGTATCCCTTTCTGTAAACTTATGTAAAGCTGAATATAAGAGGCTTTTTCTGTTGCAAAATCCTCTCCTCTGAAAGGGTAACTGCTCTGTAGCAGATCATATAGACCTTACATGTAAAATATTCACAGGTCATTTTAAGCAGACACATGGCACCCTTCTGTTTATGAATTTTCTCTCCTTGCAGTTAATACACAATATCCCATTCACACGCTTCTTTCTCCTCCTCTTTTTTTTTTGCCTTATGGACTGAGTTGTTATTTCATTATGAGATATTATGTCCATTTCATTATGGACCAGCTCAAG